ATGAGTTAGAAACGCTGACCCCGAGAGTTTAAATATTAGAGCCGAACACATAGCGGCGCGGCGTGCCAGCAGCGCGTAACGCGCACTAGCGCCTACAAACCTAAGTGAATACTTCACGCACTGCGCAACGCTTGAAGTATCCACTTAGGTTTGTAGGGGACGATGCGCTGGCCGTCGCTGTCACGCCGCAGCTTGTCGCGGCGCTTCAAGCAACTGTTTCACAACAGATGTGTTGCACAGTATCATACAAAATTGAAGGCGTTTCAACACATTAAGAATGATAGGCATCATTTAAGAGTACGGAGCATTCCTCGCAAAATAAATTTAGATACTACGACACAAATAGAGAGCGGTAGTCCAAAAACTCACTAAGTCCTCGCATCCGTATTTATTAACGTTTAGTATAATTTTTGAATTTCATTAGAGAAAAAAATGACTTAATTGAGGCAAGAACATTCTAGAGTAGGCCGTCAAAAATATTTTATTTTGAAACACAATAATAAAATTGCTAAATGAAAGCGGGTTTCTGCCTGATGTTAGTGACTTTTCTTTTTACATAAGCATGCTTTCTCCTTTAAACAAGTTTTATTTTCTTTATTTATTCACTAGAAAACCTTCTCGGCGATAAATTTGAGCATATTTCTGCTTGAATCAAGTCATTTTCTCCTCTAATGAAGTTTAAAAATCATACCAAACGTGATTGAATGCAGATATAGGACCGAGTAAGTTTTTCAACTACCGCTGCTCTAACTAGTTGTAATACATTTAGTTGTAAAGGCAAAGTGAAAATAAAAGAGTTTTCTGTGTGGCCGGTTTTTTTTTCATTATTTACACTCGACAAATAAAACTTTCACGGAGCACTGTCTGTTTTTGGTTGGGAGGGTTTTCATTTGATGTTCGATTTCGGCTGAATGAGGTCAGGCTTCCGGTCAAAAATGGACGGTTACGAAAAAATGAAGTTGAAATTACAAATCAAAATGAGATTATACTCTCCGAGTTTCAATCATCCTATCAAATCCATTTTAAGCTGATTTTTGCGCTTGGTGTGACAATGCTGCGTTGCAGTGTCTTGGTGAGGACAGATCCGCTGTCTTGTGAGAAACTTGTTCCCAAACAGGAAAAAGGGATCGCAAGGTGGATTGAACAATGCGGAGAGGAAGAAGAAGAATTACAAGAGGAAAAGGGAGACATAAGAGACAGCTCTTTGCAGTATCCGGCTGCCCAGTGATGGATAGGAAGACAAGAGAGTGGACATGAGAATAGGTTTCGGTTTTCTGCTCGTAAAAAAACTTCGATTTCGCACAGTGTTGTTAGATTGTGGCTACAAAACCAACGAGAATCTCGCAATGAGATTTTCTTTTTTTGCAAATTCCTTGTGAAATACACTCTTTAAAATACACCGGTAGAGAAATGAAGATAATTGAACATTCTGGACGTCAAAAAAGCGTGCAAGATGTAAAACTGCTGTGGCGGGTAATTCAGCAGTTTATAATATGCCTCACACTAGTTTACATCCAGAATGTCAAATAAACTCTACTTATTTTTCGGTGTAAAAAATCAAACTGAAAAAGTATGAAAACTGGATCAGATATTTTCTAAGCCTCAGAGTCTGTGTAAAATCGCAGTCAGGTGTTTAAGACCCAAAGTAATTTTTTGCAAATTAAAGTAAAGTCATTCACTTAAGGTGACACAAAGCATAAAATGGTGTTCTTGATTACCGCAATTTTTGTTATTATCCTACCATCTTTGTGTGATTTCACTATAAATTTCGTAAAATAAAATAGCCGGCCGCGATTTTGCACGAACTCCAAGATCCTGGAAAGATTTGACCCAATTCTCATATTTCCTGAGTTTTGATATAATGTTTTGAACAGTGTATAGTAAAACTCTAACACATTTAAAGTGTTCTTTTAGTTATGTTTATCGCCGTTTCAAAGAAGCAGCCGGTCAGAATTGAATTATTTTTCAATATAATGCTTTTTGAAACGGTTATGAGGTAGTAGGGTATAGGTGCACCTTTTTTGTGAATTCTTCCTGTTGGGTAAAAAAGCAGAACATTGTGAAATAACGATTACATTCACAGCATCATTGAATAAATTTTAGCCATCAAATATTAATAAAAATCACCTCTTGTAAACCAAAAACAAAATTCATTCCGGAGGAGGCTTTTATTTGTCTCGCATTAGTGCACTTCGTATCATATTTGCAATTTTTGAACTTATATACCGATTAGAATGAAAAATTGAACTGTTGCAATTGTGACCGAAAAGCAGCGAACAAACTCATTCGTCTTCGACACCTTAAAGCGTCCAGCCCACTTACAAACTGGGGCTCTCAAACTGCCACCAATTCTTCTATTTCTAAGCCATTTCTGCACGGAATTCCTTGAAAATTTCAAGATCTGATCTGTGATGTATCTCAAACACATCAATTACCTTCAAAGATCGTCGGCCCGACGATCGTTGAAAGGCAAAAGTCAACAGTTCCATCGATGAGCCTCTTTCAAGCCCCTAGTTTGAAGGTGGGCTGGACGCTTAAGGCTGTAGTGTTTGTAATGTTTGCACTAGCGGAATATTTTTAAGAACAGTGTACGGTATTAGATCTACAAAATTCATCCATCAAAATTTACGGCGGGAACCAAAATCCATGTGACTTAGGTCAAAAATCGGTGGAAAATCATTCATTTGCTCTGTGGCGTGAATCTCTTGGGGTAATCCGTTCAACCCCTATGAAGGGATCGAATCAAACACCCGGAGTTTATCCAGAGTTGTCAATCTGGCTTTGAAAGCCAGAAACAATCTCGATTTTCTCAGTTATGTTGTATATTGATGGTGAAACTCCCAAACCAAGTATCTCGGATTGCGATGTTGCAGTCTTCTTGTCACACTTTAATTTTTAAATGAAAACATTGGCGGATCCGGCAAATTTGCAACATTGTCTTTTCTCCATTTCAACCTATGGAAATGAATCGATTCTCGGAGGGGCCAGGTGCTCTCTCAAGAATCGATTATTCAGCATAGGTTTAAATGGAGGAAATTCGGTGTTGCAAAACTGCTGGATCCGCCTCCGAATAAAAAGCTACTCTGGCTCATTTCATGTAATCTCTCGTGATTTTCCTTCTTTGTGCGAAGCAACTTCTGAGAAAACTTCAAGGAGTAACGTTGATTTGTTCTCTTGAATAAAAATAAAACAGGAGCGGAGATTTTTAAACACCGCAAACAAAATACGTGGTTTGAAAGTTTCACTGCTGACGTGTAAATTAAAACAGCCTCTTTCGCTGACAAGCTCTTTTGCCGTAAATCTATTCACGATATTTCGCCTTTAAGACGATTCTCGACTGCACCGAAGTCCGGTTCACCGCTTCTGATTGGCTGGTGATGCAGTTTTGACTCATCGATGGATGTTGCACCTCCATGCGAAAGAGCCGGCGAAATTCGGCCCCTGTTATTAAATATCATAATTGTATTTTCTCCCCTTATTTTCACACATGGATCGCATTCAGCAAAAAGGAACCAGCGCAATTACAGTGTTGTAAAAATGTCGCCTCTTCCTAACTGTCCAATTAATTTCGCAAAACAGCACAAAAGTTTTGCTTCCCACCAAAAAATTGTCAATATTAAAGGAAAATAGTCGTGTTAATTTTAATGCTGTTCATATATCAAGTATTTTTAAAAGAAAAAAGAAAATTGGCACGATTTTGAAAACACGGAAAAAAATTATGATAGATTTTACCATACTCTGACACACTAATACGAGTATGGTAATAAACACCAGACTATATGGTAGCATTTACTATATTATGGTAAGAATTGCAAGAGTTCTGGTGAATACTACCGCAATTCTGGTTATTGTCACCCAATAGTATAACCGTGTAAAAAATCAAGTATAGTGAATGAAACCATATGTTTCTTTCAGTGTAATCACTCTGATTCCGTTTTGCTAAATCCGATCCACATAAAGATCCCCTACTAATACTGAGTATTTCCTTTACAAAGTATACATAATTGAAGATATTTAAACGCTGCAATGTCGTTACGTAATTTAGATTTCGGCCATCGATGTGACGTTTTAGTCGAGGGCTGGCATCCGTGGTGGTCCCAAGTGATGTGGACTCAATTTATTCGCAAATCAATCACGCTGCATGTACGATTCGGCAGATGCTAAAACCAAACAAGAGCATTTTCCGATGTTCATCGAGCTCCACGTTAGTGGACGCATTCCAGGATTCATCACACAATAGACATGTGCGTTTTTAATCTTGGCTGATTCATATTTATGACACACACGTCCGGTATGCACGCCTGGCACGTCCTGCTAAGCGGGGACGGGGNGCAAATCAAACGGGAGAAAATCGGAAAACATCCAGCCCGGTTATTTAATGATTTGTCCCGAACTCTTCGCCAGGCATTTGTCAACAACAGCACCTTTTGAGCCCCTCGAGCTTTTGCAATTTCTAAAGGCCGGGAGGACGAGACCGATTTTGCGCTTCGGCGTGGCTTTAATTTTCCGGCCAATTTGAGCGGCATTCCCGCGCAACGTCCGTGCTCTAACTTTCAAAGTGGTTGTGATTCTTTTCAAAAATGGACGCAGGTGAACAAACGAAGTCTTTTTAAATTCGGAATCCTGATTAAATACATACGTGCAGTAGTTTATAAATGTGAATTTTATTAGGAAAAACTGAACTCAAATTAGGCTTAATTTTGAAAAAAGGAACCGCTACTTTTGGCTCATCTATTCAAATGCCTATCATAGAAAAGCTAATCATGCATACGTTGTTTTTTAGAAATGCTGGAACCAAAGGCTTCCTCTTCCAAAATGTCCTATTTCAGAAGAATATTATCATCAATTCAGTTGATAAGAAGTATAGAGATTAGAATACATTTCGTGAATTATGAAAACAAAGAATATATAAACACGCACGGCTGTCCATTTTTTCCGTCTGTTATCCCATTTTAAATTTGCTGTTTCTGTGCTAATCTTTTGCATTTCCCTTGTTTCAGATCGATCTTTGACAGCCTGCTAAAGGTAAGGAAAACGTCTCCTCTCCAACAATTATTTTGGGGCTCTAAAGGTATATTTCTGTACATCTATGTATCCTCTTCCTTATTTTTCATGATTTTCAAACGAAAGGAAAAGTGTCTGATGCTGTACTATAATACTTTCTCAATCTTAGAGGAAGGCGGGTCTACCAAGAATCAGCCTAACTGTTCAACCCAACACAAGGCCCAATTACATATGAAGTTCCATTTTTTTCCGCATAAGACTGTCTTTTTTGGTTCCAAAGAGCTCCATGAAGATGAAAAAGGCTAAGCCAAGCAGAGTTTGATCTTTTAGGGTCTATATTCTGCCGTGCTAAGGAAGAACGCCGTATAAGCTATCAGACGTTGCCCTATTTCCTTCAATACAAATCGAATTTACTGGAAAAATTATGAATATTTTTCCTTAAAATTTTCAGACGGATTTGATTTTAATTCAATCAAAAGTAAATGAAAGTTTCAGGGAAAAATATGCACGACTTTCCTTTAAAATACATGTTTTATTCGGGGAAATTTGGCAACTCTCGAATGTTCATACGGCGTTCTTCCCTAGGAGGGCAGTATTGTCCGCATGTAGGCACTAAATTCCGAGAATAAAATTCCCAAATTCCTTATTTCCTAATTTTCTAAGTCCAATCTAAAATAAATGAAAAATTCAGGGGAAAAAATTCCCAACTTTCCTCAAAAATACTTGTTTTATTCGGGGAAATTTGGCAACTGTCAAATGTTCATACGGCGTTCTTCCGTAGGATGACAGTATTTTCCCCATGTAGGCACTCTATTCCTGACAATACTGTTACTTAGGCGTGAGTGAAAACACATCTGTTGTAACAGGAAACCCGATTAAATTCCTTTCCTATATCGGTGCGAGCGAATTAATTAACTTATTAATTAACTTTCACTCCCACCAGAGTCCTTTTCGCGCCATGTCAACCTTACACTCCGGTACAATCTCACCAGTGTCTCCATAACGAGAATTGTCACAGTTTCGGGAGACTATTTTTGAATGTGGCGCCTTTTTCCCGTTTCCAATTCCTCCCGCGGCTGAGGAGCTAATAATGAGACGGACGAAGATCGTGACTGAAATAAAAGTCAGGAAGGGATCAGTGGCGTGGCGTGCTTTGCGATATATCGATTGTTATGCCATTTAAACCTGTGGAAAAGGATCGATTAACAGGGTGTTCGCAGCGAACACCTAAATAATCGATTCTTTACGCAATTCACGCCACGCCACTGAAGGGATCACTCGGAGGAGGCCAGTGGCGTGGCGTGAATTGCGATATATCGATTGTTATGCCATCTAAACCTGTGGAAAAGGATCGATTAACAGGGTGTTCGCAGCGAACACCTTAATAATCGATTCTTTACGCAATTCACGCCACGCCACTGAAGGGATCACTCGGAGGAGGCCAGTGGCGTGGCGTGAATTGCGATATATCGATTGTTATGCCATCTAAACCTGTGGAAAAGGATCGATTAACAGGGTGTTCGCAGCGAACACCTTAATAATCGATTCTTTACCATAGGCTTAAATGACAAAACAATCGATTCATCGCAATTCACGCCACGCCACTGGAAGAGGCCTTCGTCCGTTGACCCCCTCGGCGCGGGCCTCGATAAATGCGTCGCAGGGATTTTTATTCCGTCGGATTCGGTTCCCTTTTTAATTGGATTTGTTTTTTTTGTTTATTTTATGGCCCCGCCACGTTTAGCTGAAGCCGACGCCCGGCGCTCGGTGTGAGAAAAAAGAGGACGTCTTCGGTTTCGTCAAACATTTTGCTCCTCGAGGAAAGTTTTGATTGTGGGCGGTCTCAGAGCTATGGAGGATTTTAGTGATTATATTATGTTCCTCTGCATCATCGAGTTAGCCAATCCGACGTGAAAAGTCTCTCTGGCGCACAGTGGACCGAATCAATTAGAGATGTCGGATATAGAGTTTTTGATTAAAACCGCAAATTTCTATGTTTATTTCGTCATATTTTGAATTTTAAGAGGTGCTTGGAGAACGAAATTTCACTATGAAAACGGAGCCAATATTAAAACCTAAAAGTTTTGTAAAAACGGAGTTATGAGCTTTTAAAGTTTCTAACGTCCGACCTCCCCCATTGACTTGATCCATTGTGCGACGTGAAAACTTTCTCTGGCGATAAAGTGACTCCGTAGTGTCTCTTTGTAGAGTTTTCAACCTATATCGAGTATATTCCCACCTAGATTTAGATTAAGTTTCTTACGTCTCTTTCTGGATACGCCATGATACAATAGAGTCGCAAAGCACTGGAGCGGAAACGCAGTCACCTTTCAAGGCTGTTTTGACTAGTGCTTCTGAGACTAGTGTGGGGCGCTTGACGATGTCATACGCGCGAGGTTCCGCCTCCGGGCTTCGCTCAGAAAATATAAGTAGTAAATGTATCTCATAAAAAATGGGAGGCTGCCGAAGAAGATACTTAATTGAGTTCCTCCTTGGAGGAGACGAAAAGAACGCCCAGTGAAAACTCCCTGGAGGGCTCTGAGAGGATATGGGAATTTGGCGAATGGGAGTCGCAGAGCGCCAAAGAGCGCTGTGAAAGCGGAAGTTTCGTTCATTTTTTCATTTTCATTGAGGTCAACAAAATTTGCCAAAATTCGCGAAAAGAATTATCAATTTAAAGTAATGAACCACGAAACCCACTCGCAGCTCGCGATTCCTCCGTAAGCCACCTCGTTCAGAAATGACGTTTGGTTCGCTTTTGGTTCACACTTTCGGTGAACAAGAGGCCAAGAATGCACCGTTCAAGAATTGACCTCAGTTGCGTTCCAGTACATTGCGACTCTACTCTACTCAATGAGGTAAACTTTGTTGCTAAAAAGAAAAAAAAATGCCCAGACCTTTTGGAAAATTTGAAAATCTCCAATTTTTTTTCTTCTTTTTTTTACCAAATAACGCAGCACAGAGTAGAAGGGCACACCGAAGGTTCATAGAAAAGTAACCGTTCAGAGGTCGAGTTACAACTCGAGGGGCGGCCTCTCACAATAAACGCTCTAAATAAGCAACAGCACATCGCGAGTAACTTGCACCGTACACCGTGGAGGGTGGTGGGGGGGGGGGGGGGTGGCAATGGGAAAGACAGGACAATCGGCTTGAGCGAGTTGTTCTCCCATCGCAAAAAACAATAAGCACCCTCGCATTCCCTCCTCGTCCCTGGGCGAGACAATGGTCGGACGAGAGGGGGATAACCGCAGCCCCCTATACCATCCCTCCTGGGGACCGCATGCGTGGGGGCCCAGAATTAAGATTCATCGAGAACAAATACCCTGCAGCGTTGTCTGTTTAAGGAAAAAAATTGTATCTCTTGGATTGGATCCAACTGAAGATGTGATACCCTTTATCCGTACCTTGTTGGAAATGATGAATAGAGACAAGTTGCATAACGCATCATGAACCCTAAAATGCATCCGAATAAATAAATGATTTGCCAAAAACACCACGCCAATGCCTAGTAGAAAAGGACAAACACGAAAGGATGGGTCATTAGACAAGGGATGAACTAGAATAAAACTTGATTTGTTTGCTTTTGAAAATCTCAGGTAGAGAACGATTCCCAGAATATGAACTTTCAAAATTAACTCCTGAACGAGATACCTATCAACAAATCTTTATAACACAGATCAAATTGAAGTTAGATTACACAAACGATGTCATTTCTATGTTTTCCATTTAACCAATGTTATTAGTAAACGCTTACATCTTGTTCATAAGTTGACTTCCTAACAGCCCGTTGTGTGATTTGTTTCCCACTTGAAATTTTGATGAGCATGTATATATGTTTCGTGGTGCTTACTAGTGGCCCATTTGACCGTGTGAGCCGCAAGTTTGGCGTTCCATACACAGATCAAACTATTCGATCTGTCGAAACTAAATTTCGGCTCAATTGGAGAGCTCTTTTACTTATTTAATTTCAAATAAGGCACAGATTAAATTTTGAATATTAATAACTTACGGACCAAATACCCATTCAATTTTCAGAGATTGAAGAAAACACTCCAACTTTATCTTTGAATTTAGACATTATCGAGGGATCGATCAACAGTTCAGCTTTATCGTATGCATGCCGATTGTTCATCGTCCGATGGATTGTATTCGATAGTGGTATGATGTTTCGTCTGGTTCAAAATAATAGAACATAACCTCAAACCAAAATTTTAGAATATAAGTCAAAAAATCTGAAAATGAATAATTTCGTAGCAATTTCACTACTCTTGGCCAATTAATACTCATTCGAATCAAAAATATATCACAAAAAACCCGCTCAGTCAGATTACTCGATTGACTTTTGAGGCTATATTTATGTTTTGAAGCATTCGATATCGATACCACCTCACCCGGTTGATGTATCAAACACGATCTATATGCTTAAGAACCATCCTCACATTGAACGCTGGAGGGGCAATAGTCTGCACTGAAAGAAAAATTTCGGTGTATTTACTGAGAAAATGGTGAAATTACCAAGAATTCAGGGTTCTATTTGATCCCAGTTTTTTCTAGGTAAAATTACCATTTATGGAATTGGTAATTTTACCGGGAAATCTCGGTAAAATTATTGAACTTTCTCGGTAGTTTTACTGGTCCTTGGTAAAAACGCCAATATTTTTTATCGACTGTGGTAGAAGTACCGAGATAAAATGGCAAAGTTATCGGGAATTGATTACCAATAAAAGTGGTACTCTTACCTGAAAAAAACAGTAAAAATACCGGTTTTTAGGTAAGCTTACCAGTCTGTCTTGGTAAAATTACCAATAATTGGTGAAACAAGTTAGGTGGTGAAGGTACCAACGGATCCTGGTAAAAACGCCGAGAATTTTTTTTTCAGTGTGAGGATCTTGCACCGTTTGACAACCCGGACCTCTAGCTTACACCGAACAAGCAAAGCCGTGGGACAATAGGGTTAATTACACATGATGTTGCCGAGTGAGCCTGGATTTCTCGCGCAGTTGCCACAGTTCACGGGAAAT